GCAGATGTTTGGGGAGTTCCCTCTTTTTCTATGCTGAGGGAAAAGTCTTTGCCTTTTAAGTTTCTGCCTGGAATTCAATTGTCAGACAGATTTCCCGACATAGTTGATGAAAATATGGTTTCATTTCCAGAATGAGAAAGAACAGAACAGAATATTGGTAAAATCTTGAGCAAATTAAACAAAGGTGTGTGAGCTGCAAGTAGTCACAGGGCTGTTTTTGTGGCTGCAAGGGGCCACATATTCTCCTCAACATGCTTTGAAATGCCCTCTGGGATTGTGGGGCATATTTTCTCCACATTTTGGGCCTCCCTTACTTTTTTTGAAACAGGAAGTGAACAGGAAGTAACTTCTACTCATTTCCTGTTTTTAAAAATGGCTTCTCCTGCCCTAAAACAAACTTGGTATCCCTAAAAACATGGCAAGAATGTTCCTATGCCCATAGAGGGTGTTTGGAAGCATTTGGGATCCAAGGCTTCTGGGAAGCCCTGGTGGTGCAGTGGTTAAATGTTGGTATTGCAGCCACAAGATTGGGAATTGGATCCCAGGGGCTCCAAGGTTGACTCAGCCTTCCATCATTTCATAAATTGGTAAAACGAGTATCCAACTTGTTGGGGGAAGTTGGCTTACAGATTGTAAACCTCTTAGAGAGTGCTGAGTTCACTGATAAGTGGTATAGAAATGTACACACTATTGCTATTGCTAAGGTCTCTGGGAAGGCTACTGTGGCTCCCTGGTCTTCCATAATCTTTGTTTTAAAGGCTATCACATCTGGCTGTGTAGGTGCAGTTGGCTGAAATTTCTCAGAAAATTGAGGTATGAAAAACTGGAAAATTTAGTATGGAATATTGGGGTACAGCCATATAACAGGATTACTTACAACCATGGAAGCTCAGAAGGCTTAGCAGCCCATCAGCTATTAAAAAAGCAGTTTGGGGAAATTTTTACAAAATTTTATGAACCCTCTTACATTTTTTGTATAAAAATAGTAAAAACAGGATTAAACAGCAAAGAAACAGGACATACCAATGATTTTCAAACTAGCTAATGCTGCATATGATTTGTGAAAGAAAGAAAAAACACCAAACGTACGTTTACAAACCAGACAATAAAGGGAAATCAGTATCAAGATCCAGGTTTAGAAAGTTAATTTTAATAACCCATCTATAAATCCAACAGCGGCATGCTAACACGCTAAGTCCCAGTTGATCATCCCACCACTGCTTCTAGTTATGGATGGCTTATACATGTCATTATTCTATCCATTTTCTTAAAAGTAGCTTTTGAATCTCTTCCAAGTTCAGAGGAAAGAAAAATTAGTTAGATTAGGGACACATGCTTGGTGCTAACTTCATAGAAGTTTTCTTGGGGGGGGGGGATGTCATTCCAACAGTCTTTTCTGTGTGCAGCTGGCATGAGACAAAGAATGAGATGATGCTTATTACAGACAGAATAAAGAACCATAATTTTAATGGTGTTGTCATGATTTATTCTATAATTCTTAAAATGCAAACAAACAGAGGGCAAGATTCTGAATGTGGACATTTAAGAAAGATAGTAATATTAGTGGTATGAGGCATGTACCATCCAATTATGTTTGGCAAAAATAATGTACCTATGTACATTATATAAGCACTGTAAGATTTATGATGTTTTTAAACATTTGGTTTTACTGCTCTTAAGAACTTGACTTTGTGAAATGACACATAACAGACAAGTACATTGCCATCACTTAGGAGCATCAGTGCAATTTTTTTTAATACAATGTCTTAGGTAGATTTGTTGCAGATATGTTTCAGCTTATATTATGAAGTTATATGCAGTGGTGATGAGTACTAACAGAAATCAAACTCATATTTCCCTAGGAGCTTTGCAACCAGTATTGGAAATGCTGTTCAAGTAAATACAGTGGCAACAAGTGATGTATCACCTCAGTGTTTTCAGAATGGCTGTGAACAATGACAGCATAATTGGGTGAGGTAAAATCCATTGCTCAACAACTTCATTTGGGGCTGCTTCACATCATACACAGTTCCTGTACAATACTCACTTTTGCACAGAAATCAACACAAAATATATATGTTGACTGTAATATGCTGGTAGTGATATCTTAGAGCCTTAGTGCTTTGAATGTTGGATTATGACTCTGGAATCAGGATTTGATTTCCCACTTAGTCATGAAACCCACTGGGAGACCTTTGGACTGGTCACATGCTCTCAGCCTCAGGTGAAGGCAATGGCAAACCCTGAGCAAATCTTTTGAAGAAAACCACATGATAGGTTTGCCTTAGAATCGCCATAAGTTGGAAATGACTTGAAGGCTCACAACAATAACAACAGTGATATTTTACCATTGATGGTGTGGGAACTGTAGATGTCATCAGCTATTCACGTGTTTCCAGCATATAGTTAAATCTTCCATGAAGGAAACATGTTACAGTTTATGGGTGGTATCCTACTATTAGTGTTGTGTATGGCAGCAAAACATATCCTTCCTCTTCTCTCTGTTGTCCTCCGCACACCTATAAATATGCTCTGGAGAGTTGGGGATTCATTAGAACAGAGCTAGGAGCTCAAGAGGAAGGAGAGAGCTGGAGGTCTTTATGAGGGAGGGATAAGTCCATTCATAAAATGATGAGTGTTTGCCCATAGTGAGGGTAGACAAAGTTCAGTCATCCATATACTGTTGTTGTTGTGTGCCTTTGTTAGAATCCTGTTAGTATTCTATCAGATATATAGTATAGTGTTT